TCTTTAAATGTTTTTCATTACAAATTATATACCTATAATTTTTAAATTTATTTGGTTGAGCATCATAACAAGTGTATAACATACATCTTGAACTTCAGTAAGTGTCTTAATCTTAAGAAGTACAGAGTTCAAAAAATTTTATTTTCACAAACTTTGTTGATTTATATTTCAACAATCTCCATGAAGTATCAGATATGCGAATAAAAGTTAAACACACATCAAAATCAACTAGAAAAAACAAGAGCAAAATAGATGGAGAATTACAAAGGAAAATTTCATGAAACTCACGTTTGAGCTGTGCTATTTCATGACATGGGTGATCACTTACAAAGTGGATGCCAGTGAGGTTTAATTCTGTTATATTCCAACACATTTTAAAGAGATGGTTCATCTGGTTCCTTGTCTGTCAAACAAAAACCCATAGAAAATAAATGAAATGTTAACACTTTCTTAATCTGAAAATGTATTTCTGACAGGTACTCACCTCCGTACACAGAATTGCTACTTCCCTCACACATTTGCCTATGAGATTTGCATACCACTATCCTTGAGCTAACTCTCACCTAAAATTCATGTTTTACGTGATTTGCACTGGTGCATAATGACATAATCATGTGACAATAGCCCTCCACTAATAGGAGGGCAACACAACCTCCATGTGCAGTAACTCCCCCTATACAATTGTACTACAGATAACTTCATTCTTAGACAAGGTAAGAACAAATAGGTGTGCCAGAAGTGAAGAGGAAGGGTGGGAATGTGCGAGGAGGTGAGTATCTAATGGAAATACATTTTCAGATCAGCAAAATATTAATTTGCACAACAATACCTCACCACCACAAACAGAATTGCTAGAATCTCGTGTTGAATTGCTGGAGGGACTGGTGCAAATTTCAAATCTAGATGAGCTCCCTTCAGAAAGTGCCCAAAATGGAAAGCCCTTGAAGTGTGACACCAGCTGGCACAGATTTCATAGGGACTCACCCATAAGAGACTGCATTTTATCTTGACCAAGATATACTCTTCTTCACAGAATGAAAAAGAGGGAAAGGCGAAGGAGTCTAAAGTGTCACAGGGATGGGCAGAATGTGATGACGACCAACTGAGCACCTGCATACAAGCGGTTGGCAAGCCACTATGTGTAGTGCAGTTAGGATGTGATCAGACCATACAGTTTGTACTAACCTTGACTCTGGCTGCAATAGGAGACTATGTTAGCTGTTTAAGGGGTGACCCCTCCTATAATAACAGTGTCACCACCACCCTACTTCTCACTGTATTGTGCTAAACTCAACAAGTGAAGATTCTCCATGTTCTACCACCCCAGTAGATAGAAACTGGTAAGTGGCAAGTGTCTCCAGTGCTCAACTTGAAGAAGGGTGGGAATTTGCATTGGGGAGACCTGGGAAAATTCTCAGATTATCATCAGATGCCTGCCAAAAATGTATTGTATTAGAGACAGTGTAATAAATGATCGCAAAACCCTATTTTTAAAAGCCAGCAAGTGCATAAGCCAAAGAAGAGGGCAGATACTTCACTGATGCTGACTTTTTCCATGATAATCCATGGAAGTGGTAAAGTCTGGATTTACAATTGAGTAAATACATATACCACGAGAATACCTCTAATGCTCTTATGGAATACCCCATCTCAACAGTGGGCACTGGTAGAACCAGGACAGATGGATTGAGCACTTTCCAGTACCCCTGGCCCAATGCAGGTTTTGGGAAATAAGTATACTCTCAGAAACAACATCAGCCACCTGACAGGATTATTTCAGGTGGAAAGGGAGAAAAAGAAATATACTTACCCTTCTCTAAGGCAGTGTATGAATTGAAATACAGTGACTGGAGGAATATAAAATCCAATAGGAAACAAAACAGCCAGAGAATGAAGATAATGAATGAGTGCATAGTCATCTACATGCAAGTCTGAAGGATCTTGTCAAAGGAGTGGCATAAATGATATGCAAGAGAGTGAGACAGGTGATGACAGTGACGCAATGAAGGGTAAAAAAAACATGTGAGCATTGACATCCTGTGAAGAATACACCAAAAAGTTGGCAGACCCTTCAAGTAAGGGTAGAAGGCAAAATGTCCCTGGCTGAAAAGGGGTCCCAATAAAAAAGAAATGATGACAGGAACTTCAAAAGGAAATGTACATGTAAAATAACACCAAAGTGCTCAAACTGGACACAGAAGATAATCTGGGTCCAAGTGAGCAGAAGTGAGAAATAGAAGGAAGAGAGATTAGAGAGAAAGTATTAAGTCATCAAAAAATTAATGTTGTGTTTTGGAACACTTCATTAACCACCCCCCAAAAAACATACATCACTTATAATAGTTAAACGAACCACCTAACCGTCACGTTAGTGTAGCCTATCTAATGTGTAAAGTTGAGTATAGTCTAATCCCTTATAGTGATGGCACATGACGAGACACACATTCAGCATGTAATGCTGTTTGAATACAAGAAGGGAAACAATGCCTCTGTAGCTACAAAGAATATCAAAGAAGTTTATGGAAATGTTTTGAATGTTCATAAGTGTCAACAATGGTTCAGCAAATTTCATTCAGGTGACTTTAGCCTTAAAAAGTGTGGTGGTAGGGGCCGACATGTTGGAATTGATGTTCTGAAGATGCTTGTTGAGTCTACCCTAACCCAAGGCAACACACTCAAGAAATGGTCCTGAAATTGCATGTCTCTCATGAAACAATACGTAAACATCTAATAAATATGGGAAAACTCCATAAATAAAGTGTCTGGGTGCCTCACGAACTCTCTGATGATCATTGTTTCCAATGTGTGAGCATCGCTTCGTTTCTTCTGGCACATAGTGCGCATGAACCATTTTTGGACAGAATTGTCACCAATGATGAAAAATGAATTCTCTATGCGAATATTAAACACCAAAAACAATGGCTCAGTCCTAGATAAAAACCACTTCCGACCCCAAAACCTAGACTCCATCTGTAGAAAGTGATGCTTTGCCTTTGGTGGCACATCAAAAAAGTAATTCATTTTGAACTCCTCAATCCACAGCAAACTGTCAATGCAGAGATCTACAGTCAGAAACTGGAATGTTTAAATAAAGCCCTTCATCAGAAATTCCCTTCACTCATCAATAGGAAAGGTGTTCTTCTTCTCCACGATAACGTCCACATTTGATGCAACACAAGATTATGGAGTTGGGTTGCAAAGTTCTTCCCCACCCACCATATTCTCCAGATAAGGCGCCATCAGAATACCATCTTTTTCATTTGCTGCAGTACCATCTTAAGGGGAAAATGTATGCAAATGTGGAAGGTGTAAAGAGACATCCACATATTTTTTTTGCTTCAAAGCCAAGTGATTTCTTTAATCAGGGCATTAACAGCCTGATTATAGGATGGAAAAGCATCATTTATAAGAATGAAGATATTTCATTTAATAAATGTTTTGTTTTGATATACAAGTTGTTCAGGTTTTTTCATATTAAAAAAAAGCGAAATTAATTTCTTGACAACCTAACATTATCTACAAGTACATGAAACATGACAGACTATTGTGGAATGCTTTGAATTTCTAATTGATTAAAACTAGTATAGAGGGTTGAGAATGTTATATTAAAACAATTTTGAATATGCAAATAAACAAGTCATGTGACAACCACAACTGATATAAAGTCAAGGTGGTATGGAATGTATCAGAACTACATTTTGACGTTGTTTAGCATTTCATAGGTAGTGCAATGCTACAAACAACTGATTGCATTTAGTAAGCATATTCATGTACTAAGAACATAAAAATGTGTTCAGATTGGAGTTAAAAATTCCTATATGGGTACTGAAAAAAAACATGGGGATTTGTGTTAATTTGAGGTACCATGACCATCCAGAAATAGACCTGAAACATATCATATCCCAGCTTGAGAAGCAAATTATAACATCTTGTAACATGTGAGAATCCACGAACACAAAGGCCAGTGGCAAAAGCTGTTCATCATGCCCCAGGCAACAGTACACAACATAATCAAGAAGGATTTCCATCTTGAAAAATGACATAAGTCACATGTAAACAAATTATTTTCATGACATCCATGAAAGAAAGGCCAACTGTAAAAACTATAAGAAGAGTATGTAACTGAGGAAAAATGGCAGTACATGGTGACACTCAATGGAGCATATGTGTACCCTGACAACTTTAACAAGTCTTGTGCCTTTTTTTTTACTGGTTAATAAGTGAAAGACTTTCTAAACTTAGTAAATGGCATGTCATAAAACCTTGTCGAAGGGATTCATTACCATCACTGGATACTGCACAAGGGAAGTTAGGTATTAAAAGAGTATACAAAAGTGAACTCTTCTTACTCTCAGATCAATGTTTTGGACCCTTTGTACCATATAGAAATTTTGGCTTACATGGAAACAAAGCACACAAGTTTTGTATTTATCAGGTAGGACTTCCACTCATAACTCCCATATCTCAAGCAGCTAGAGAATAAGATGGGTATTCATGCTATTCCATACAAAGATGAACTGGTCAAGTCATCAGATGCAGTGCCTGTCAATTTCTGTACGATTGGACGGTTGAAAAGACCACTGGGAAATTGTTGTCCTTGTAAAGTATATGGATTATGTAAAGCATCAGTGAGAAGTGGTATGCTTTGGACATGAAAGCCTCATGATGGAGTTTTTTTCCAAATAGAAATCATGCTGTAGGGCTATTGTTAAGATGCACAGTTGTCAGACAGAGAATGACTGAATGTGGTGACATGTACTGTAAAGACACAGTCAGGCTTCAAAATTATTTTGATATAATGTAATCAACACTATATATTATACTTTGTGCTAAATAAACTTGCCAATTAGTACAACAGTTAAGGTTTTAGATGAGCAGTTCATAAAACAAACAATAAATTTGTGTAACTTATTTCTACATGTAACTCCCACACAAGATCAGTTTCTTTCTCCACAACTGAAGTTAGTTATAAAGTTTCTCAAAAAAACATTGGCATTCTCTTAATTAAAATGTTTATTGTTAACATCTTTGTGTCCTACCTCACATGCTGTTATGGTATCTGCACCACATTTAACAGCCATCATAGAAAGCAGTCCTGTTCCAGTTCCAATGTCAAGCACCTTTGCTTTCTGACCCAGACTTTTGATTGTATTAACTGCTTTAGTGAGAGCAGCAAAGTATTTTTGGTTCTGAGAAAAAGACAACAGTATATATTACTGAAAGCTATAAAAAAGATGTCATTACAATAATAATAAACAATGTTTTTTTTATTTCTATATTTTAACACTCTGCCTTAAGTAACATGTAAATACTGAGATTTTCATTTAAAAAATTTAACATGTAAAGAATATTGATTAAACTTTCACAATAAACTGAATTACAATTGTAATTTTAATTATTTTATAGCTTTCTTTATGCAAAACATTTTTTTTTACAGTTTGCAACATACAAGTATACAAGAAGAATGGTCAGCACTTTGAAAAAGTATTTTAGTCTAAAACATATAAATTTCTGCAAATCTTACTTTTTGCAAGTTCTGTACATTTCATGTTAATGTGAACTAATGTACATTACTTATTGCTGTATATCAACTTTAACTACTGATTACAGCAAGCTATTTGCTTAGGATGACACTAAAATTCAACTTGGTATTGGTAATGACTGTTGCTAATTAAATAAACTTTTCATATATTCTTACTTGTAAAAATTAGAAGATATTATTTTCCTATGCTGAAAATATATTTCCCAATAGGTACTTACCTCCCCTCACATGTACAGCTATTCTTGTTCAGTGCTGCATTCTATATGTAAACATTTTTTTCACATGCCACAAGCCTTAAACTCCTACATACCTTACGATCAACATGGTTCAACTGCATCTTGCATGTAAATCATCCTGCGACAACCCTCCACCAATGGGAGTTCGACACGCCTTCCCGACACATGTGACTCGACTCCCTCTATTCAATTTTACTGAACCACCACTTTCAGATTAGTCAGAAAAGAACTCCCCGGTTTTCAGTAGGGAGTAAGGGTGGGAAGTGTGAGAGGAGGGAGGTTAAAACCCATAGGAAATATATTTTCAGTATAGGAAAATAATAACTTCTGATGCAGTACACTGTATGATCCCCATTGGGAGAGGAACATACATGGGGGACTGCACCACTTCTTCACCATGTATACTCTGTGCCCAGTATGGAAATAGGTGTCACATACACAGGCAGAAAGTGAGAGGAGCACAACCAAAAAGAAGAAAGAAACCGGGTGGGTTCGAATCTGAACCACAATATATTGGAATCTCAATCCTGGTGAAGAAAGACAGTAGAAGAACCATCTACAGACAGGAATATGGGGAAATTTAAAGTGGATGTGCTCCAAGGAGTAGAGTGGCTAGGGTGCAATGGACCATATGCAGCTGGTCAACTCCAGTCTAAAACCAAGCGGTATTGGGATTACAACTTCCAACTCATGGTAGGAGGAGGGTCCACGCTGTATTCATCTTAAACTGAGTAGAATGGAATTATATACATGTCAAACCAATCTACTAAATGGGGCAGATGTGTGAAAATACACACCTGGGAATCAGACATCTGAATGACAGTACAAAAGGGTGTGCAAATGTGGTGGTTCACATCAAACCAAATTCAAACTGACTGGAACTCCTCAGTGCAACAGCAGCCTCAGGCAGGGTAAAAGCTCTGAGGCAGAGTGCTAGAGGGAGAACCTTTACCCAAACAACATCATTCTCCAGACAGGACTGCACAGAAGTTGGAGCCCATGTGTACACAACAACCTCTGGGACCCACCACATGGAGGTGGAGAATACGAGGCAAAACTGCAGTTAGGATGAAGAATCACAACCAACACATGTGAGGATTTATGTTGATTGGTCCAGCTCTAATACCAAAAACACTCACTTGGAACTAATATCCAGGTGATGGTAGGAGGAGAGGTCCCAATTGAAGCTGTGAACTGCAATGTGACGAATCTACTCCAAAGCAACATCATTCTCTGGATAGGGCTGCACAAAAGTTGAAGCACAACGCTAACTTCCAGGTCCTACCACACGGAAGTGGATCGCCTCTACAAAATATATGCAACCTCACCTTCTGGTTAGAACCGCAGAGAAGCTGCGCACAACATCAACCTCCAGGACCCAACACATAGAGGCAAAGCACATTATTGGAAGATCAGATGCCATCTACACCAGCAGAACACCACAACCCTAATCTCTACTGAATGGAAATTATCACATTCAGGAGGATACCTCCATGGTCCACTACCCCAGTGCTGGAAAGTAGCAAGGACTCCCATACTCCACTAGAAGAACGGGGTGGGGTGGGGTGATAAGACATAGTGGAGAGTCTGGAGGAATATCAACACCAAAAACAGTGCAACGGGTGATCACAAAAACCCTATATTGAAAAGCAGACTGCCCCTGATTTATTCAATCGAAGGGATGGACACTCATCCTCTTCTGCTTTACCCATGTAAGTCCATAAGTTTGTACAGTCTGGAATGGGCACATTAACCCTTTCGCGATGGGCTTGGTGTATAATACACGAGTTCGGATACACATTTGCACATGTTAGGTATTTATACTATAATTTTTAATGCTGCAAGTGTATCTTCACAAAATTTGGTAGACTTTTAGTAATGATTCCAAGTCTTTTGTACACAAAAAATCAGATTTTTTAATGAAGTATTTTTACTAAAGATTTGTTTGTGAAAATATCAATTCTGTTTACTAGTCCAAGTGTGAAGTGATATTCTTGTCATGATTAAAAACTATTCTACATCCCAAAAATATCAAATATTCTGTGTAAAATCTAAAACTTCCTAATTACATTTCAAACATTTGTTTTCAGTAACACTTTATATTCTGTTATTTTCTCTACCATAACTATACAAGGTCTGTCAATTTGCCTGACCTCATAACCAGCATAAAAAATTAGGAAATAAATATAATTTCTTTTTTATTCTTGAATGACTATAACATGAAAACACAAATGTTTAGCCTAAAAGCTCAAATTTGGCTGTGTTTTAGTGGACTGGTATTTTGTAAAATACATTCACATTTCAATTATTATACATTATATATGCATATAGATTATTACTATTTACAAACTAGACCTTAAACTTATTTTTCTTAAAACATAGAGCAGTAAATGAAGAAATAAAGTAAACAATTATCTCTTCTTGTTACGACCCTTGTACTCGGTTGCTGCTTCTCATAGCTTGTTAAGCCTTAAGAAATTTCACACGTGGAGTATGTAAAACGAAAAAAATTTTTTTTTAGGTTTTATATATACATTTGAATAATCAAAAAATCATAAATTAGTAAATCAATACCATAGAATTCCATTATAATTTATCAAATTTAGTAACTAAGCTGTATTTCAGTCTAAAAAAATATTAAATTTTGAGCAGACTGAAGACACAACCTACCTCCTTGAAATCTTGTTTCAAAAGAATGAGATGGCATCCTAACACATGAAAATGGCCGAGAAAGCCACTAGGAGGACATTTTTAGCTTTCGATTGGTTATTTACATGTCATATACACAAAGGACACATATATAAGGGACCATTTCCAAAAATTGAAAGAGGTGAGTGGGGCCCATTGTGTTTGATTCAGTACATGAGCAATATCTTAGCAAATAGAAAAGATAGGAGGTTCTTATTTTATATTCTAGCTTGTTAATATTGGTAATTTGAGTTCCTAATTCGTACAAAACTATATACTTCGTATTTTGACATCACAAACATCTAATTTGAACCAGTGCTGCATTGAACATACCATGCGACACACAAAAATCGATGTTTAAGTTTTTTAATATTTACTTTTAAATTAAGAAATTGAATAGTGTATAATACTAAAATTTGAATTATAATCTACAGTTTGATACCAAACTTATTGATATAAATTCATAAAATAATAGTTCAATAAAAGTTTCAATGCAAGTCAACAAACATGATGACATGACCTTTGACCTATAGCAATAAGGTCAATGAAGCAAATATATTGTGAGGAAAAGCCTACTAGCAGTCTTGTGGAACACCCCATCTCAACAGTGTGCATTACTGGCCATGGGTTTACATCTTGGCAATACTGTGCAGAGTTGAGATATAGGAAGCATACCTGGACAGGCAATACTCGCCACTGAACAGGATCCACATCCTAAATAGGATACGCCCCTGGAGGGAGAAATATATATACATAGAAAAAAAACTTACCCAGCCACAGCCACACCAAAGTCTGAAAGATGGTAATAGGTGGAAGGCGATACCCCGATGAGGAAGAAACAACTACCCAATGAAGATAGTGGGAGTTAAACATATGGGGTGTAGGCCACATGCATGACTGAAGAATTTCCTCCCATGGACAATGGAGGTGACACTCCAGAAAAAAGGGAAGGTCCCTGATTTTATGCAAAGACATCTGGAACAGAATTTTATGAGAAAGAGACAGGGAGGAATAGACCAATTGAAGTAGCTGATGATCCCAAATCGTAAAAGTAGTGGGAGAAAGGTCACATACAGATGAACTGTGCCAACAAATGAAATGGTGAAAATGGAAACCTCTAAAGGAGGCCATGCAGGCAATGGAACAACGAAGAACACATACTGGACATAGAAGTTTATCTGGAGCAGATTGGGAAAAAAGTGAGAAATGGATGGACGAGAACCAAAGAAGGAAGAATGGCTCTCATAAGCTGCCAAAGCTTTGAGTAGGAAAGATCAATCCGAAGAACAACATGACAAAGAGATCATATAATCTGGAAGGAATGTAAATGGAACTGGCAGGTCCAGTTCTGATTGATAAAATTCACTGCAAGGGCCTGAGGATGAAGAACCAGAGATCAAAAAAGAGGTAGCTTGGTGTTGGAGTAAAGTAGCAAAAACATCAAAATGAGGAGTACCCCATTGCTTGCATAGCTACCTAAGAACCTGAGGGACAAGAATCCACTCCGTGGGATAAACCTGGTCAGGTCCTAAAAAATGATCTGCTACAAAATGAAAAGCACCCGGAGCATGACATGCAAGGACATTTATCCACAGAGTGTGGGGCCCAATAAAGGAGATCCTATGTTTGACCACAAAGGAAACAGGAACAGGTGCCCCCCTAAGGATTGAAATAGGCCACAATGGTGGTATAGTCAGAATGTAGCATGACATGTTATTACAGTACCAGAGAGAGAAAATGTACCAAAGCACATCATACCGCCATAAGCTCCAAGATGGACCCACACTCCTCAACCTTGGAGGAAAGCATTTGTGATTTGATGGAAATCCAGACGAGGTGGAGAAAGCGGTATTCCCTTCTTTGTGCTCTCTTTGTTCAACCACCAATGCAGATAGTCTGCAAGGGAAGGAAAAAGGACAACTGGGGAGTCCAAGTGATCACAAACAAGATTCAATAGGCCATGCAAAGTCCACTCCTGAGAATGCATATGTGCCCACCTGAAAGAAATAAGGGCTTCCATATAAGCTCAAGTCCTTAAAATCAAAAGAATATCTCATGCAGAAACTGAGGAAGCAGTAAATGCAAAGAGAACTGAAAGCATTATCAAATGGATAAGTGAAGAAGTTTGGGCCTGAATGAGGTGGGTGTTGAAAAATACAACCAAGTGGATAAGATAGTGGGTAAGCAAAAGGAAACTTCACCAACTTTAGAATCCAACCAACACAAGCTGCTACTGTCAGCAGCAGATGTGTGTGTTGAGAGGACTCCAGTTCAGAATGAGCTAACAGGAGTCAGTTGTCCATGTAGTAATGTAAACTAAACCTTAGAGCATGCAGAAGTTGGGCATCCAATAAAATATATCTGATGTTCAAGCAAGCCTGAAAGACCAAGAACAAAACTGATACATAACCACGTATTGGACAAACTGAAGATAACATCTGGATTGATGAGAAATATGATTATGGAAATCAACATTTGAGAAATCTATCTTGGTCATCCATAGTCCTGGAGAAAAAAAAAACCTGGGTGGAATAAAGGACTCCATGGGAAATTGGTGAATATTCAGAAATTGGTTGAGACACAACAGATGGATCAGAGGACAAAGAAACTGGAGTAAAATCCTAGAGGAGATTGGTTGACAGGCTTGATAGTGCTCTGTGATAGAAGGGTCAGCACAACTGTGGATAGACCCAGACAAGTAGCTGGATCCCAAGTTAATGGGGAGAAAATTAGTACAGGAGAAATAGTGAGGAGGAAAGGAAAAAGGATGAAAAATCCTTCTGACAAAACTTAGATCACCCGATAATCGGTAGTGAATAACTACCAGGGGGGAACAATGTCAGCAAAACGTGCCCCCACCAGACTGGAAACCCTCTGATAGTCACTGAAACAGCTGGCAAAGATGAACCTGACATCAAGACACAGTGAAATTTTTAAATCTCTAATAGTAGGAACTACCACAGAGTCCACAGATTGGCAAAAGTGACTCCAACTGCTGGGAGTTGAGAAAGGGTTGATCAGCTTGCCAATAAGCCATGGAGGATGAGGCATGCTAACACCAGCCCTGAACTGAGAAACAAAATGCTCACCATAATCCCTGATGTCAAAGAAAAGAGGAAAAACAAGGAACTTTAATGATGGGTGTCATGTAAAAAAAAAGAAGGAACAGTATCATATCAAAATGGTGAAAATGAGAAAATGGAACACACCTGAGAAAGCATATCAAAAAGGCAGAGTTAGGTTTATTAGATTTCACAGGAGATACATGGGAAGGTATGGCTTAGCTAGGAGGAGGAAAAAAAAGGCTGTCAAAATCCTCCTTGTCATGAACAGGTTTGGACAATGCAGGAAGAACCCGAACATTGTTGGGAGAAAAGGGATGACTCATAATGATCAATCTCCCTGACAAATGATAGCCAAAAAAATCTTCAGTCAAGACCCCCAGACCTGAGGCCAGTAATGGCATTTGAAGTAGCAGTAACATCAGAAGTTGTAGAACATAAACTTAAGAATTCATCTTAAACTGTGAAGAAACAGAAAATGAGAAAAAGAAAATCAATGAACATGGGTAAGTTATAATGGCAAACCACTACAGAAAAAAACTAACTGTAGTAAATAAATAAATCAAGTAAATCACTACTTCATAAAAAAATAAATAATATTAACACGTGAAAAGAGCACAATTGAAAAATGCCTGCACTCGATCACTGCCTAACAAGAAGGAAGTCTGACAGAGGAAGTCAGATGCATCAGGAGGGTGTGTCACACTTCTATTGGTGGAGGGTTGTCGCATGATGATTTACATGCGAGGCATAGTTGAAACACATTGATCATGGGGTATGTGAGAGTTCAAGGGTTGTGGCATGTTAAGAAATGTTTGCATATAGAGGGCAGCACTGAACTAGAATAGCTATACACGTGAGAAGAGGTAATGGACCTTATTGGAATTCATAGTTTCATCAGTTGGGCACCCTCACTGATAATAGTTTCAGCCATAATACCAATAATAACTCATGAGGGGCTTGGCCAGCTTAGAATATTTAGGTTAGTCCTAAATACATATACTATTTAATGTATCTAGTTTTATTTGTACTCTTCTACTTTCATTATAAAGAGTACAAATAAAACTAGATACATTAAATATTTCAGCCAATACTGTTACTGAAAGTAACTACAAATAAATAATACATAGTGCTTTGCTTTTAGTTTAAGTAAATACAAATACAACAGAAGAATATGCATCGAAATCACAAGTACAGTACAGTAGTCATAGCATTTTTATGTTCTACATAACTCAGATGTAAATTCATAATCAAATACATTGAATACGACATTGTAGGACTTATGAGCCAAGATCATTACTACTTTCTTTAATATTAATTTCTTTAATTAATGAAGTGAAATTAATCACTTTGCAAAAAATTCTTTTTAAACCTTTTACTGCAGCTGGGACATATTTCCTTCTGTACTTGAAAATACATATCCCAGCCACAATGAATGGGTTAGTACTTGGTTAGTAATTATTTAAAATCCAAATAAGCTGCCAAAATATTACTAATCACATTGTCTAATATTTAAAATGGTTTATTCTGCAAAAAATTGTTTTTAAACTATCATTACTTGGTTAGTAATTATTTCAGATATGATTAATTTGAAAGCAAAATATTTCCTGAAATTTTGGTAAAGCATAAAGTTACAATATTGCATAACATAAATAAAGTTATTTCACTTACTCGCTCTTTGTCATGTAACATATCTGCATAGCTTGACCTATGAATAACAGATAACAAAATTTTCCATTGGTCATCATTATTAATTTAATATTAAATTTTATAATGAGATGTGCAGAGAATGTACGAAAACATTAAAAATAAATAAAAACATTTAAATCACACAACTTACAGTTCAGTTAGTTTTTAATTATTTCTATGGCAAAATAAATATAATCATTTTCTCTAAAGTACGTGTATATTTAAGGAAATGTAAAATAAAATTTTAGTTGTATGTTATTATATTTGTATGATTCATTATCTTCCTCTTTTTTTTGGCAAAAGGAAAGTACTTTATGTACTTTTTTATTTTTTACCTTCATCAGTGAAATACTGAAAACATTAATACAGAAGTTGAACATTTCAGCCATGTTTGATGAGGAGCCCACTTTTAGAAAATAAAGTTTGGAGATGGCTTGAATGGGTAACATAACAATGTTTAGAAACAACAAGGGACCTGTTGGTCCACCTCAGCCATCTGATCCTCTAAACTAAAACTATTAAATAAATAAATTTGAAAAAAAAAATCTTAAAGCTAGTCCTTATCATTCATATACTTATCAAGCTTTCTCTTAAACTCACTTAAATTTACTGCCTCTACAAAATCTTAAAGCTAGTCCTTATCATTCATATACTTGTCAAGCTTTCTCTTAAACTCACTTAAATTTACTGCCTCTACAAAATCTTAAAGCTAGTCCTTATCATTCATATACTTGTCAAGCTTTCTCTTAAACTCACTTAAATTTACTGCCTCTACAAAATCTTAAAGCTAGTCCTTATCATTCATAT